ATTTTTATAATAGCTCGAAGCAAAATTGGCAAAATTGGCAAGTGAAATAGATCGACGAAAAAGGCAGGAGGTAGGAGGTTGCGCAATTGTGCAACAAACAATGAATACTGAAATAATTGCGAAACACTTTGGACGGCACACACCAACTTCGCGTAGAATTTTCGAGTGTACCTGGCCCATGTAATCGGTATTTGAAGTTATATTTTTAGAATTTATTTACTAAGATATTTTCTTAGATTTACAACTTTGAAATTGATTCACAGTCGGGCCGGGCAAGATGGGTGGGATGCACGGGGGAGGGGGGGGGGGGTGGTGCGGCCGGGCAAGGTCGGGGCGGGTGGGTCCGGGCAGGGCTGGGTGGGGCCGGTTGGGGCCCGGCGGCACCCGGCGGGGCCGAGGGAGGGAACGACCAGGGTGACGGAGGCCCGCTGGGCACCGCCGTCCCCGCCGGGCAGGCGAGACGGGTCGGGGGTGCGGTGGGCACACCGGCAGGACCGGCGGGGTCGAAGGGTAAATCAATAAAAACAAGAGAGAGCGCGAGAGGGTCGCGTGATCTCGCCACATGCGAGCGAGCGCGAGCAAGATCGGACAAAGGTAGGCGGCAGCTGGCGCTGAGGGGGCGCGCGCCCGACAACGTCCTGCCACGCCAAACGGCTGACCACAAACTTTACTTTTTAGAAGCTGATACATAACACTAAATCATCTGTTTTCATTCTCGATGTATTATTTCATTTTTAAACCACTTTTTTTCTTTTTTTCTTCCACTACCTGCAGCACTGCTGGATGGCAGGGAACGTTAGACGCCTTGTGGCGCTGGCAGAGATGGGCTAGTTAAAAAGCTCTAGGTCACGCGAGAATCGAATATCTTTGGGATGAAATCTGCTTTTTCGCTCTGCAGCAGGAACGTGACACTCGCTCCCCAACCTACCCCTCAGCCAAATCGAGCGCCGCACCCGTTCAGGCGCCATAGCAGCTTGCACCCCGCTGTCAAAGTCCAAAAGCGGGCAAGCAAGAATCTCCTCGACTGGCATGGTCATGTCACGTCACAATACGTCCAGGAAGCACACTTTTACCCCTAACCAACCAGAGAGGGCCACATTCATAAAAATATGTGGTTGCTTTTAGAATCAAAAGTACAAGGTAGACCAATGTAGAAAATGGAGTTGAACATCCGAAATCACCAACGCAAAACGTTTTGGATCAGTGGATTAATGGGCTTTTTGCTATCGTTCTGATTTTTGATGTGTTTGCCCAGGCACACTCTTTACTCAGCGTACTTGTCCGCGCATACTATTTTAACAGTGTGCTTCTAGGCATGCGGATAGAACATGTGCGAAGCACACTGTTGTTGGATTTTCAGCAGTGTACATCGAGAAAAACGGTCTCTTATTTCAAACACATTGCTTCTTGATTCGAGTAAATGCTGACACCAGATCAAATTTACTATTGCCACAAGATGATATTATCTTTCGAATAAGAGAAAAATCTTATTCCAGACCATATATTGCCATTTGTGTCAGCGGTAAGCAAGCGCTTGGTGCAAGACAGCAAGACACCATTCCGCCAAGTTTTCCTCACTGTGTGCCCCTGTCTACATTCCAACCGCGTCCCGCCTCTCCATCTGTACTGCTGTAACTAATGTGCTCGCGTCAGGAGCTGCGCTGGCCGGCTGTGACCAGCCGGCTGGGCTACGTGCGGGTCACGGCAGGACAGCACCGTGTCGCAGTCGCACTGTGATCGACCGGCGCTCGCAAACGTTTCAGCTACCTACCGCGGGATCTTGATATGAAGGAAGCGGTGGGAGGATGGGGGGAGGGAGAAAGGGGGGGAGGGCGTTTCTTTTGTCTACTGTCGCTGACGCGTTTTCGCACAGATGGCCCCCGCGAGAGCCGACGACGACCCGGCCGACAACGTAAGGAGCGACGTGACACACGCCGTGCGCGCATTTGTTAGACAAACACACATCAAGGCACCTGTCAGATCCTTGCCAAAAAAAAAAAAAAAAAAAAACACTACGTCAAGGGACGTCTCGTGAAAGCAGCTGATACGAATTTAAGGATATGTCTGTGTTCTTATTTTCTCTCATATTTTGCTGTCATTTGTTTATGGTTGTTTGTTACTTATCTTGCGGGCTAGGTAGGAGCATGGCATAGGAAGAGATAGGAGATAGGGGGCGGCGGACAGAGCGACTGGCATTCGTGGCTCAGTATTGTTTGGTATTGTTGGGAACGGACGGTCGGTCGGCCGGCGGGACCGGCGGACGCGGACGACTTCTCGCCCCCTATACATCTGGGTGACGTCATGCGCTTGGTTCTCTGTCCTAATCGAGAGTAAAAGCTAGCTGACACCTTAAAGTTACTTATATATTCTTTATGTTTAGTCAAAGGTTTCTTGAGGTATCATCTGCTAAAAACAAAGAGGAGGGGGGAGGGCTAACACCGCAGGACCTACGCTGCCTTTTTGTCGCCCCCAGCAATTTTTACTGTGGAACAAGAGTGACAGAAGTTAGTGTTGCAGGGGCGTAGAGAAGGACGCTCTGCAAATCTAACTGAATAACAAGATTACAGTTTAAACTGCAAAACTGAAAGTATTGCGGTTTAAATTTTGAAACTACAAAGTTCTACAGTTTAAACGCGTCACAGCGTATTCGTGTTTGGTAAGAAGATATCGCGAAGCCAGACGTGGCCTAGCGTACATCTACCTACTGGAGCTGCGCGTTTGGAGAAGAGGTAAGGAAGTAAAGACCGGAACCCGTTCGGACATTTTCTTCATTTTAATGTTTGAACACTGCAGTTCAGTAGAAATAACTTCCAGTAACTCCCTAGTAACGGTCAAATTACTTTTCACTGGTTTTAGCTGTGTGTCCTGATCTTCTTATTTCTTCTTTAAATGCGCACTGTCGGAACCGTCTATTATTGCAGGTGCGCTTCTTTATTTTATGTACAGCTGTTAGTTGGGGAAATGCAAAGGGATAGTACGAGGGCTGCGGACGAGCAGCAAACGGGAGCGGCGATGGGAAATAAAGAGATTGTGGGAGAGGGATGTGATCTGGCGCCGGCAAGGGCTAGGGGGCGTAGGCGCCAGGGTATGGTGGGGTTGGGCGGGTGGGGGAAAGGAGGGTGATCTGTTGATGAGCCCCGGCTAACGAGGGGCGTGCTGGAGGCGGCTGGAGGGAGGCGGATCGGGGTGGCTCGTCCCGTCCTGAACGGACGCAGATCGGCTCGGCGACTGCGGAGGCGGCCTGCAAGCGGTATGCAATGAAAGAGTGCCATGATCCTAATGAATATCACAGGAATAGTTCAAGGTCTCTGCATAAAACTTTCCTTGGCCGTTGCATTTGAAGCCACGGCAAACGCAGGGCAAGGAGGGCTTTCGGTTGTCTCGGGTTGTCTCAAACCTGCTGACCAGTCGTATCAGCCCTCCCCCCTTTCCCCCTATTTTCCCCTTTTCAGCGACTTGTGGTGCGAGGAAACAACCAACTTCCAACACAAGGCCACTTTTTCCACGAATAGATATTCTATGATTTATTTGTGTCCTTTAATTGGGGCAAATCTGAGTGTGAATTTTGTCCCCCCCCCCCCGTTCTCTTTACATCGGCATCAGTTTTTCTTGTTTTGTTTTGGCAGTCATTCGTGCTGAAAATGGTCACACAATGATCTATCAGGGTGAAAATTCAAGGAAGATTGCAATGTTCTACTCTCGTATTTAGTCATGTAATAACCGTAATAGGTGCGTAATGGTTGTGTAAGGTAATAAATAGTCAGCAATAGTATGTAGTAATGGAAAGGGAATACCAGGTAATAGAAATCTAATACACGTAATAGAGGTAATATGTTCGTCAAAATATTTTTGATTTCCCAAAACTTTTTCGAGAGGAACCGTCGAAGCAACTTCGAAATCAAAATACTTCTCCTTAATCATAAATAATACATTTGAAATAGTTCTGCACCAATCTTATGTTTTTGATGTTTATGAATTTTTGACAACGAAGAAAAGTTGTGATTTCGCCCCAAATCGCAAAGAGTTCTGGCAACATTTTTCACACAGATTTCTTCGTGAATATGTCATTTTTTAATCTGTAGGGAGTAGCTGGGCCACTATTTTGGAGAGTTGACACCCCATCGGTTTGATGGATAAGAAAGCAATAATTCATAAACACCAAGCATAAAGTCTCCTAAAATTATGTTTTAAACGGTGCGGCGCACTAACAGGCCCCAGGCTCTATACAAAAAATTACTGTTTTTTTTTTTTAACTGAATGTAGAAATAACTTTTTTTCCTGCACGTAAGCGATCACAGTTTAGTCTCCCCTGAAGAGTTTGTTGCACTTAAGGTGCAGGAAGAAGGGATTTTGGGG